CTCCGGGTGCCCAGGACACAGCTCTGCCCTGGCAGGAGCTGAGGGGGTGGCAATGAGATGGCAGCCAGGGGGTGATCCATGGAATCATTTAGGTTGGAGAAGACCTTCAGGATCGAGTCCAACCACGACCCAGAGCCAGCACTGACCCAGGTGCCACATCCACCTGGTTTTTGAACACTTCCAGGGGTGGTGATTCCATCAGTGACTCTGTGGTGACTCTACCTTCAGGGCTGGCCACTGTCTACCTTGGGTTCCCATGAAAAATTTTTGGTATTATCCAACCTAATCCCACCCTGGTGCATCCCCAAAGGATAAAGCTGCCCCTCATGCCAGGGGCAAGTGGGAGGGGGAAGGTGGGAGCAGGAGGGGCCTGGCACAACAGGGGAGTGACAGAGCAGGAGCTGGCCCTGGACAAAAGGCCCAATTAAAGTGTCCTCCTGCAAACAAACATTCCCACAGCCCAACTTTTTCAAAGATGGCTCAGGAAAGAAAAGGGCCACGGGATCGGCAGGATCAGCCTAAGTCATGTACATCTATTTAACAAGAAAACTCATTGATAAGCAAACCACCTGATGCTTGCACAGCAGAAAAGAAAACACCTGGTTCTGCCTGTGGGTTGATAAGCCAATATCTTTAATCTTTTTTTTTTTCTCTTGATGACTGAAGTACACACTCTGTGCGGCCCTATGCTCCAGCCACATTGGTAATAGTAACAAAGCTTTGATGTCCCCCTCATTCAACAGAATGTTGTTTAGTTCAAAGCGAAGAACAGAGGCAATTCTTTGCTTTTAAATTATTAGCTCCCTAAGTCTTCTGTAATGATATAGTTTGACTGAAGTGTGCAGTTTATTAACTACATAAAGACGATATTATTAGAGCGGAGAAAGGCAGCCGAAAGTTTTGCCTTTCAGCTCAGCAGCAGGGGTTTTTGATACTTTGATCTCAATCAATGCTAAATGTCTTTGTGAGATAGAGGGAGCAGCAGAAATTACCTTTGGCACCATGACTACATCAATTATTTAGTTCTTTTTCTTATAAATTAAAGTGTTCTTCAACTTTTACCCCAATTTTTTCTTCCTCTTCCTCCTCTTCTTTTTTTTTTCTTTTCCCTTCAGTTATTGGAGGGGGGGGGGGAAAGCTGACTGGGAGAAGTTTGGCTGTGAGTATTAATAAAAATTCCACTGACCTTTCCCAGTCCTGGTCTGGGAGGGTCTTCTCAGTGTGAGGAGGTGGATTAATGGGAACAACAACAGCAGAAGCGGGCCTCAGGGTAATGTGCTGTTTAATCGAATTACTGTATAGGCTCTTATTCCAAATTTGCCTACATTTAGCCTAATTTCCTTTTTTTTTTGTTTTCCCCTTGGTCTTTTCCAGTATTGCTATGGAAAAATGGGACACCTGACAAGAAAGGTGGAGGGAGACTATTTACAAGAGCAAGTGGTAACAGGACAAAGGGGAATGGCTTCCCACTGCCAGAGGGCAGGCTTAGATGGGATATTGGGAAAATGTCCTTCCCTGTGAGGGTGGGGAGGCCCTGGCACAGGTTTTCCAGAGAAGCTGTGGCTGCCCCATCGCTGGAAGTGTCCAAGGCCAGGGTGGAGCACCCTGGCACAGTGGAAGGTGTCCTTGTGGGACAGGATGGGCTTTGAAGTCCCTTCCAACCCAAACCATTCCATGATTCCAGGACTCCTGAGGCTGAAAGCAGAGCTTGCAGGGAGCCAGACCGCAGCCCCTGGGGCTGCAGCAGCTGCCTGCACACTGATGCTGCACACAGGAACTCTCATTAAAGCCACTGGTGTCAGCTGATCCCACCCAGAGCTGTCACCAAACACTACCCATACAGAACTCTCGTGCAGCCTGGAGCCCATCCCCTAAAGCCAAAAATAAACCATTCCCACAGCTGATTCATCCCATCCCAAGAGGGGTGACAGACTCCTTCCCTGGGACAGAAGGAATCCAGCATGATGGGACTAGAGGCGAGCAAGGATAACGTAGCTCAGTGCTTCCCTGGGATAACAAATGAGTGGATGTTTCAGTGGGATTTGTGTTCTCTGGTACTTCAGGGCAGAGGCTGGAGCAGAGCCGAGAGGAGGGTATCCCTGCAATCTTGGGGACAGCAGCTGGTGGCTGGGCTCAGTGCTGTGGTGCACCAGAGTGTGTTAGAAACCACTGGAACCAGAACCTTGGCTGGGAACACGAGCAGCAGGACCACAGAGGTGCTGTGGAGATGCCTTTAAACCAAGATTTAAAACACTGACCTCTGGCCAGAAAAATTCTTTGTGAGCAAGAAATAAAAGAGGTCTTTGCAGAGGTGTTGAGGCATGAACTATGGGAACTTCAACATATTTATGTGTAGAATGTGTTGGAGAACAACATAATTCTGTTTTCATGGTGATCAAAGTTTTGCAAGAAGAAGGACTTGAGACAGTGTGCTGAGCTGCTATGGCAACATGAATTTTAAAAAATAAACTGACTTGCAAGAGCTTATCTTTTCCTCTTTAGTGTGGTGCAGAACAGATCTGGGAACCTCTGCCTGAAAGAGATCCTGTGAAGAGCTCACCTCTGCCTCTGGGCCAGGTGTATTGCAAATGCATAAAACATATCCCTCGTGGCAAGGGGGAAATTATTCCGTGACTGGCTTTGCACCCCAAAGAGCCAAGTCATGGTGATCCAGTCACTGTGTTTATCACAGCTCAGATATTCAGATGTTGGGGTGGATGCAGCACAAAGCATTTGGGCTGTGCTGGTATCCTATTCTGGGAGCGGGGTGGGCTGCCAGGCGCTGCTCGGGGTGAATTCCACCCACGGCAGGCGTTTCCAAGAGCACCATGACGTGGGCTCGGCTTACAGCTCGGCTTTTAAGCCACCCGCACCAAATGTAGAGGCAGCAGTGTCAGGAACCCTCCGTGACAGCTCCTTTCAGGAGGGGATGCTGTGAGGAGCTGTCAGGCTCTGAGTCAGCTGTTCTTCCAGGGCTGGCATTCCAGGCAGGAAGAGCCTGCTTGAAGAACCATCCCAACCATGCCGCCTGCCAAAACCACACTGGGAATCCCATGGGAACCAGCCCTCTCCCGAGCCAGCTGGTACTTCCTGCTCCCGAGGCCTGATCCTGCTCTGGATGCTGAGCATTCTTTGTTCCATTTTTAAATTAATGAGGCTTGAGCAATGCATGGTCCCAGACCCCGGGGGAAGAAACAGCCCCTCGGTGTTTTCAGCACTTTGGCCGTGTGGCCCAGCTGGAGAGGAGAGGGAAAAGTCGGGCTTGAAGGCAGATATGAGAGATGCCTGGAAAACAGATTCGTAACCTGGAGATTTTAGCCAGGTTCTCCGAGCTGGCCATGCTCCCACACACAGCTCTCCTCCCCAGCACAGGCTGTGACTCCCAAAACTGGCAGGCCCATCTCTCCAGAGAAGGATGAGGATCACCAGCGTGGGACTGGTTCCCATCCTATCCCAACAGTGTCCCCTTGAGGTTGGTGGCTGAGGCAGCCTGTGAAGAGCTCTCATGGAGGTGCAGGGGAATCCCTGAAGCTGCTCTTGCTTTCCAGGCTGGTCCAAACAGCAAATCCCAGCAGCTGTGGATCAGCCTGAGTGAAGGATGCTGGAGGAGCCCACCCCAGAGTGGGTGTGGGACCTCCACACTTGGGAGTGGAGCACTTGGAGAACCACTCAGGTAAGAATCTCCTTCCAGCTTCATCTGGGCATATCTAAAGCTGGAGCACTGCAGCTCATCCAGCAGCACTGGGGTGTGGGAGCTCCTCCAGCACCCCAGGAGGAGACAGCGTGGGAGGGTCTGTGCAGCCATGGGAGGCTGGAGAGAGGAGCCTCTGCAGAGGACACGAGGCTCCCTCGCCGCCGCCGCTGCTGCTGCTGGAATCTCCTTTCTTCTGGCAGCCAAGCAGCAGGGAGTTTTCTGAGAAACTGCCCACAGGGAGCGATCACTTTTTCCAGTCATTAACCTTCCACATCCCTCACATTACAGGAATACCTTGGATGTCTAAGTTGCTGCAGAGAGCTAATTCCTCCAGGTGACTCCAGGCAGCGATAAGTGGGCTCCTGCACAGCGAGGGGGTTTGAAGTGCCAGAGCTGAAAGCGCTCCCAACTCCGGCACGCCAGGCCTCCAGCAGGGGACACAGCCTCAGATGTCACAGCACGGTGGCAGGAGGGGCTGGGGCCTCTGGAGCTGTCATTTCCAACCTGCATTTCCAACTGGGGGAGCCGAGGCAAAGGGAGGGGACCAGGCATGGGCCTGAGATGCCCTGTGCCCCCAGGGAAGTCGGTTCTGGTTGAAGGATATTGGGGAAAAAGATATTTGGAAGGTATTGGGGAATAAAAATCAGCGCCCTGAAGGGATAAATGTTGGGAACTGCCAGTGCTGGCCTCTGGGATAGGTGTGTACCTGGCTGCACTGGGTGTCCCAGCCCTGGCAGAGCAGCAGATTTGCATCTGAACTCCTTCCTCTGGTGTGGAAGATGAGCACAAGGAGTATTCAAAGACAAGGAGGTGCCCAAGAGAAGCCCGAAACCAATGAGAGAAGTATTTACAGTAGGATGGCTCTTATCATATGTACATAATATTAAATATAGTATTCTTTTCTCTGACAAATCACAATGTCTTCCTCTTATATTTCCTGGATTGCACATCACCAGCATCCTGCCAGGACTAGCTGAGTAACAATACTCACACAAAAATTGCAGAAGACACCAGATTTGTCTCTCATCAATAATAGATATCCCTGTCAGTGACAGCAGAGCAGGACCAGGTCCCTCTGACAGAGCAAGCCATTGAGAGCCAATGTGTGTTTGTACAAGAGGAGCATCACAGGCAGTGAGGGCCAGCAGCCTGGGAAAGACTCTTTGGAGACAGAAGCAGCCTTCTGATTTTCCCAAATTACCCTGTGATGGGAAGTGTCAGCCCAGACCTGGGGAAAACAGGGAGCACTGAGTGTGAGTGAGGATAGATTTCAATCCCGCAGCAGGACTGAGCCTGTGGAACCACATCAGCCACACAGAAAAAACTCCATTTATAATCAGAAAGTACAGAACAGCAACATCAGAAGTCACAGGTCATGGCCAAGGTACAGAACAGGGACCCACGGCACACGCACACACGCCGAGGAAACTTGTCCAGAGAATAAAACAACCACCTTCAAACACTGACACAAGGAAGGCAACAGTCCAAGTCAATATCAGCACAGCCTGTGGCAACACATCAATCCCAGTTTGGAGGGGCCCAAAACACCAACAGGGACTTGGCTGGGATCTCCCAGGTGTTCCCAGGTCGGGCCATGGTTTCAAACCCATGCACTGGGAAGCTGGAGCTAATGCAGGAGGGCTCTGCACTCCTTGATGCCTCTGGGATCATGTCTGGTTTGGATGAAGGAATGATGCTTTGCCACCCAGCACACAGCATCTCATGAGGGGCACTCCATTTTCCCCAGTCTCTTAATCAGCATGCTTTCAAATTAAGAAATTGTAATTATTAGGAGGTGGGCCCGGGCTGGGGACACAAGCACGCCCTAGTTTTGGCACTGAAGCCTGAGTCCTGCTCTGCCAGTCCTGCTCCAGCTGGGCTGTGTTCAGTGTGCTGACACCTCATGGCCAAGCCAGAAACTCCGATAAGACACCGTTTCCCAGGACATCACCCACACGTCCTCCATCTGCTCCAAGGCATGAAACCAGGCTCGTTTATCGACAAGTCTGTCATGAGCAGGACCGAACACACCAAAGACAGGAAAGGAAACCAGTCCAGAAAGGCTTGGAGCTCTTGGATGACAAACAGCTGGGCGCACCAGGGGCTGCTATCGGGAGCCGTGGTGGTCTGGGTGTCCCTGGTGCTGGAGGATGGCTCTAACACACTTTTCCAACATGTGCTGAGCCATGCATGGCAAACACTGCATCTCAGGCCTGGCAGGAGTGTGCATGCCGGGGTTACCCCGCTCTCCCCTCCTCTGTGGGGGTCTCCCAGGGGCAGATCAGCTCCTTTGCAGAGTCCTTCCGAGCCCAGCACTGCCTGTCCTCGCCCTGCCCGGAGCGCCCATGGCAGGCTGGGCCCTCCGAAGGCACGGCTGCTCTGACTTGGAAGAAGCTGCGTTGGGAAACAGAAACTCATTACACACACACACACACACACACACACACACACACACACACACACACACGGCGCTTTTTGATGTGCTCTGAGGCGGCCAAGCAAGCTTGGCTTTGAGATTTCCACCATTTCAGCCCCAGATCCCAAAGCAAAACTCCCGGGCACGAGCCCATGGAGAGGGAGGACGAAGGGAATGTGTGCTGCCGCTCCTTTGAAGCTGCAGCGCCGTGTGACAGCTCCGGAGTGCGGAGCCAGGTAGAGCAGGAGCCCTCAGGTTTGCGCTTTGGAATTTATAATGTGGACTCATCCACTCGGGCAGCAGCAGAGGTGGGTTAAATGAGATCAGGGACATGTTGTTCCTGGTGAGGGACATGGCCAGGGTTTGGTTCCTGCAGGGGAAGCCTTTCCAGGCAAAAATTCCCCATCTCTGCCCTGGAACAACAAACACTTAGCGACTCTCGCTCAAGATTTCCCCTCCCTTGTCACTTCTGGTTCTCCTCTGACTTGAAATCACTAAAGCAAACCTAAGTCAGTGCTCAGGAGCACTGAGGTTTTCCAAATTTGGGGCTGAAAAGTAAAACCTGGGGTTGTGCACTCCGAACAGGAGGTGTGAAAGTAGCAGAGGCCAGCACGGGCTCCTGGCCTGCTCCCGTAGGAAAACCACAGGAATGGAGACAGGGAAGAGCCCGGGGTTTGGGGCAAAGGCGACTGCCAACAGGTTCTCAGGGAGCTCTGCCTGCGGCTAACCCCAAAGCGAAGGGGCGCAGAGCTGAGCTCTGCCCGGGGCAGTGTCCGTGCGTCCGTGCGGTGCTCACCTGCTGACCGCCCCGCCGTCCGGCCACCGGTGCCCGCCCAGCGGCTGCACCTTGCCGCGGGGCACGGCCGGGCTCCCGCAGCCCCTGCGCAGGACGTGGGCCCAGGCCCGGCCTCGGCGGCGTCTGCGGCCTCCGGCCGGCCGCGGGTCCGGCCGTGGGTCCGGCTGTGGGTCCGGCTGTGGGTCCTGCTGCAGGTCCGGCCGCGGGTCCAGCCACGGGTCCGGCTGCGGGTCCTGCTGCAGGTCCTGCCGTGGGTCCAGCCACGGGTCCGGCCGTGGGTCTGGCTGCAGGTCCTGCTGCAGGTCCGGCCGCACGCCCGTGCTGCTGCCCAGGGCCTGGCCCAGGGGTGAGGGGCGGGTGCTGCCCCGGGACACGGTGGGCACGGCGGGCACGGCCTGGGGAGCGGCTGGTGGTGGGGCCGGGGCGCTGGGGCCGGTGTGGGCAGCCAGGCCAGGGGAGCAGGAGGCCAGGTGGCCTGGCTGTGGGGAGGAAAAGCAGAGAGGCTCGGTCAGGTGCTGGGTGACACCCAGGGCTCCCCAGGCTTCTCCAGGAAGACAATCCCTCTCCTTTGGTGCTGCCAGGAGAGAAGGGCCCCGCTGGGAGGCAGCTCCAGCCACCCCAGCCGAGCCTGGTGTCCCCCTCTCCTGCAGCTCTGTCCCGTTCCCTGCCCTCCCACTGCCAGCTTGCCTGCGGGGTCACTGCTGCCACAACCCAGCGGGTGCTGACAGATCCAGCCCCACACCCGCCGGGATGCTGGAGGAGACACCAGCTTGCCTCATTCCTCACAACGATTAGCTGCAGGCACGGAGGAGGAGGCTGTCATCCCGGGAATGTGATCTTGGTTATGAACAGCACAACCATGTCACACCCTCGGCACCAGCCGGGGCCGGGAGCAGACCCCGAGCCCCAGCCCTGGTGGCTGGCAGTACCAGTCACATCCCATGCTGGAACCCCAGAGTCCCTGGCTGCGGCTGGGAGGCTCCAGCACAGCTCAGCCAGCCCTCAGGACAAGCCCAAGCACAGACCCGACAGGACAAGGACAGCACATGCTGCATGCCAGGCCCTCTCCCAGCAAAATGAAACGCAGCTCAAGTGTCCGAGGAGAGGAGCTGAGAGCAGAGGCATGCTCAGGACATGTACACACACATGCAGAGATGGCACAGAGAAGGATGAACACACTGAGACATGACAGAGAAGGATGAACTTGGCTCTTTTTCTGTTTTCTACATTTATTTTTATTAGACAGATGAATGCATGGAAGCCATGGCCAGAAAAAAATTAAACAACACATGGAAACAAACAATTTCTTGGCTGGCACAAAGTGAAGTTCAGCTTGTACCAGGCAACTTTCCTCTTTGGGGACTGAGCAGCAGAGGATGAGGAGCAGAAGGCAAGGCTGTGACAGCTCCATCAGCCTGTGGCAGGGCAAAGACAGCTCCTGCCTGGTTGTGAAGGATGGCTGCTTGTTCCACAAACAAAAACTGGTGTTCCACACAAGAACTGGTATTCCACAAGCAAAAACTGGTGTTCCATACAGAGTAACTGATGTTCCACAAGCAAATACTGGTGTTCCACAAACACTAACGGGTGTTCCACATGCAGTAACTGGTGTTCCACACAGTGACTGGTGTTCCACACGCACTAACTGGTGTTCCACATGCACAGTGACTCCCAAGCACGCAGCACAAACCATGGCAGGGGAGCAGCAATGCCAAGCAGAGATGATAAATCAGAGAAAGGAATGGATGCAGAGAACATAACAAGCAAAGCAGCAGACAAAATAGAAGTAGAATCAGAGGGACTGATGGGAACACACAGATTTGTTATTTATTATTTATACCCTGACTTGATCTTCCACATGTTACTACATACTGGCAATCCCAACATGCTCAGTGCTCCATGTTACACAAACTCTGCAGAGACTGTAGAGTTCATCACAGCCAAGTGGCTTTGGGCCAACCCTGCCAGCTTCTGGAGAGTCTTCCAGTGCTCTGATGTCCAAGCAGGCTGAGGGTGCTCAGCACCTGATGTAACAAAGCCTTGGGGTTTAAATTTTTAAAAAGGCAGCCTGCACCTGCTCCCCTGTCCAGCAGTGCAGAATGTGCCTGTGCTTCCAGCAGGAGAGCAGAGACGCAGCACAGACATCAGAGGGAAGGTCTGGGGTGACTCAGCTGGAATTCCTCTGAGGAGGTTTATCACTGATGGGGTAAGGAAGGGCAGGACAATCTCCCTGGCTCAGCCACAAGTGGAGGAGAGGAGTGACACCACATCAGTGTCCAGCCCTGATCCTGCCACGGGGTGGGCCAGAGTCACTGATGGAGCTGTTGGGGACACAGTGACATGATGACTGTCCCCTGTTCACAGGGAGTTGCCCTGCAAGGACCCCAGGGCTCCAGGGGCCTGCATGCACCCCACTGTCCAAGGGCTCCCACTCCCTGCCAGCTCTCTCCAGAAGCTGCCCTGTCCCTGGGAGTGCCCAAGGCCAGGCTGGATGTGAGCCCTGGGATAGTGGAAGGTGTCCCTGCCCATGGCAGGGGGTGGAATGAGAGGAGCTTTAAGATCCCTTCCAATCCAAACCATTCTGGGCTTCCGTGATCTCCCATTTTCTCTAAAATCCTACCACTATTTAAAAGGGATGAACCATATGAACTGGAGAGAGGCAGCTTCCCAGACCTTAGTGCTTCCACCCAGTTCCTTTGCTTCCCCAAATTTTTTAACACACAAGGAAGCTTTTCTGCCCCTTCAATTCCCTTTACTGGCCTTTGCAGCAATCTTCACACTTCTGGTAACCATTGGCCTGGTCCAGACATGCTGGGCTTTTCCAAAAAGGCCCAGAATCTCCCTGAGCTCTTTAGCACTAATGTGGTATTTTAGCTTGCCTTATTCTACAGAGCAAAAGAGACAGAGCAAATGAAAAATAAAATACTATGTAAAGTTGAAATCTGCTCTTAACACCTCTACCCTGTTCTCCCTTGCCTCTGGGCAACAAGCCAGTGACAACTGCAGCTACCTCCTATTGGATTGTTAACACAAAAAATAGAAGAGCAGGAAAAAGACAAGACAAGAGGTGGGAAGGACTGGATAAAATCTCTCTTGGCCTCGTGCAGGCTCTGGCAAGGGGCAGCTCTCTGCACCTGCACACCCAGCTGGCAGCACAGGAGTCCCAGGGAGAGCAGAGCAGAGCTTCCTGCTGATCATCTCCAGCGTGCCAGGGGATGTGGGAGCATCATTCAAGTTCAGAAGGTCAGCTAAACCTTCCGAAATGCTCCTGCTGCTGTTCCCACAAGCAGCTCTCCTGCCTGTGGTGCTGGCTGGAGGTGCAGGACTCTCGGAGTGGGGGGTGTGCTCCTCTCAGGGGGTACCAGATGCACCCGTGGGAGGATGCAGAGCCCCCCGAGGGGATGGAGGCCAGCAGGGACACGGGGCCGGGTCACCTCGCCCTCGGTGCCAAGGAAGGCTGGTCTGACCCCGCAGCCCTGGGGCACAGCTTTGCCCTGCTCTGTGCCGATTCCTGGAGCAGCAGGGCCAGGCAGCCGGGCTCTGCACCTCCGGGGCTGTGGGGCAGCAGAAGGCATCTCCCGTCCCAGCAGCAGCCCGTGCCCGGCTGGCACATCTGCTCTCCGGGAGCCCCGGCAACGTGCGGGGAGCTGGAGGAGCGCAGAGCCAGCCTGGGAAACCTAAAGCAGCACTGACACCTTCAGGAAGGGGAGCCGAAGCTCAACACCAGCCTCGCCTTGGCTTTTCCCTGCGGGGCTCAGAGCCTACTTGGGAGGAGCTTCCTTCTGGAGCTGGTTCCTGCGATCCAGCTTGCTCATGACCTGCGTGATGTCCACGGTGTTGGCGGCTTCTCTGGCTTTGGCCTCTTCCTCCTGCTGCCTCAGGATGATGGGGCTGGGGCTGGAGCGGAGGTGGCGGCGTCCGAACAGACCCGTGCTGGGCAGAGAGAGGGGAAAGAGAGGGGTTAGTGAGGAGAAGGGCACCAAAACCTCCCCCTGGGAAGAAAAGTGACCCAGGAGGACAAGCTTGGACACAGAGATGGCCAGAGGAGTGCAAAATGCTTTAAACAGCCCTGGGTGAGTCAGTGACACGCACAAGCTACAGGACTGCTAGAAGTGTCAAAGTCCTGCTCCTGAGGGACTCCAGGGCACACCCACATCTCTCCTTGGTTGTGTTTGCACATAACTCACGCTCAGTGTGAAGTCAAACAACTCCCATCCGTGGAGTTTTCTCTGGTGCCTTCAGGAAGATCAAAGCAGGGACCAGGGTGGGTGTTCCTGGTGTCTGTGATGCCCCCAAAAAAAACCTACTACCTGCTTCAGCACTTCCCCTGCAGCAGGAACAGGGGCTCACCCACCTCTGAATGGGTTAAGCAGCTCCAGGTTAATGGGATGCTGAGGTCTGGGGGATCCAGAACAAGCACTGACAAAAACGAAGGCAGGATCAGTGGGAGCAGCCAGCATCTGCCAGTGACCTCAGGATGTGTGGCTCAAGGAACAGTAACTAGCCAAACCCCAGGCCAGGCAGCAGCAGGGCTTCTCCCACTGACTTGAAACAGCTTTTAGATGAAGCAACAGTGTGAAAGCCCATGATTCCTCCTTGCCTGCTAGGTTGACGCAGTCCAGCACTGCATGCTCAGCTTTAGGAGCAGCTGCAGCTCAAATGGCCTAAATTTGCTGTATAACCTTCATCTTGCTGGGAAAAAGCCATTTCCAAGGCCATCCACCTTGTGCCAGCTGTCACTCACAAGGTGTTGCTTGTTCCCAAATGCCTGTCACCTTCCCTTACACCAGGGGTGAGCTTTGTCCAGGCAGAGATGAGCACATCCTGTGGATTATCCCAAATCTTGGCTTTGTCTCTGCTCTGGCAGCCAATGTTTAGTGGGCAGGAGTCTTCCCATGCCCAGGACACCAGAACTTCCTCCTTCTAGGAAAGGGGCCATGAATTAATTCAACAATCCCAGCCCTTCTCAGCAAACCCTGCAGAGAAGGCAGCTGAGTAAGCAGCAGCTCCATTCCTATTCACAAGCCTTTTCCAAAGGGCTCATGAATAAAAAGCACCATCAGTCTCAAAGCAAAGCATCTTCTCAGTGCAAAATTTTATTTAATTAAGAAG